TGTCCTCCCTTTCTTCCCTTTGTAGTCACGGAGATAAGAGGCTAACATACTAAGATGACAGAGTGGAAAGAAAAAGGTCCTGGTGAGTCTCTGAACAGACACTAATAATTGCCTACTTCTAGACTTCTTGCTATGTGAGAAAAATGCCATCTTAATGGTTTAAGTTGCTATTAATTGAGTTTATTTGGTTTTAGCCAAAGGCATCAATTTTTTTTTTTTTTTAAACCAGGGATTGAACCCAGAGGCACTCAACCATTGAGTTACATCCCCAGTCCTTTTTATTTTGTTTTGATATAGGATCTCACTAAGTTGCTTAAGGCTTCACTAAGTTGCTGAGGCTGGCTTTCAACTTGGGATCCTCCCTCCTCAGCCTCACTCAGATTATAGATGAGCAATACTGCACTTAACTAGCCAAATGCATTTTAACTGATAAAAGGATGTGGAAAGTATTCCTATGTATTTGTGTCAACGTGGGCTTTTTTTTCTAAGCTCTTACATTTATAATTATTTTTGGCTTTCTATTTATATGTATATGTGTGTACATATAAATAGATTGACATATCATCTAAATAATGCTTTTATCAATTATAATATTTCTTCTTACTACTTCTTTTAACTGTAAATTTCTCTTTGGGCCAGACACTGTATTGTATACCTGTAACCCCAGTTACTTGGGAAGCTGAGGCAGGAGGAGCTCAAGTTCAAGGCTAGGCTGAACAATTTAATAAGACTCTATTTCAAAATAAAAATTGTAAAGGTTGGGGATATAGCTCAGGGGTAAAGTGCTCCTGATTTAATCACTAGTACCTGAAGGGTAGTGGAGTGGTGGGGTGATGGTGGATATTCCTCTTTGGGTGATACCAGTATTTCCAGTATTGCTTTTTTTTTTTTATTTGTGTTTGGTGTTTTATAAAATAAACTGTTTTGAGGTATATGTGTGTATGTATACATATGCTTTTATGATAAAATGCACACAAACCTTATTATGTTAGCTTTATAATTGTACAATTCAGTGGCATTAATTATATTCACAGTGTTGTGCAAATATCAACACTGTCCATTCTCAGAACTTCTTTATTATACTAAACAGAAGCTCCGTACCCATTAAACAATTAACTCTTCCAGACAAAGTGACACATACCTATAATCCCAACTAACTGGGGTGGTAGTAAGGTAGGAGGATCCTAAGTTCAAGGCCATAAACAATTTAGCAAGATCCTGTCTGAAAATAAAAAATAAAAGGGGCTGGATTTTATTTTTTAGCTCAGTGGCAGAGTACCCTGGGTTCAATCCCCAGTACTGTAAAAACAAAACAAAAACAACTCTTCTTCCCCCAGCCCCGTACCCCTCGTAACCTCCATTCTACTTTCTGTTATGAATTTGCCTAACTAGGTATTTCATAAATACTAGTCCTTCTTATCCACAGTTTCACTTTCTGTGGTTTCAGTTACCTGCTATCAGCTCTGGTCTGAAAATATTAAATGGAAAGTTCCAGAAATAAACACTTCATAAGTTTTAAATTGTGTGCTTTTCTGAGTAGCATGATGTGCTGTCCCACATCATCTTGCCTGGGTCATAAATCATCCCTCTATCCAGAATATCCATACTATATATGCTACTCTGTTAGGTACCCAGTAGGCTTCTTGATTAGTAGTTGAAGGTAGTTGCATCCCAGTGTTTAGATAACTTGTACTTTACTTAATAATGTCCCCAAAGCACATGAGCAGTGGTGCTGGTAATTCAGATATGCGAAAGAGAAGCTGTTAAGTGTTTCCTTAATTAGACTACATCATAAGTATGTCTGCATGGGGAAGAAAACATAGTGCTATTTGACATTTCAGACATTGACAGGGAGGTCTTGGATCATGTTTTTCGAGAGTCAAGGGGAACTGCTGTAAGCAGAATCATACAGTATTTGTACTTTGAAAAACACATTCCTTTTGTGTGGTGGAGGGGGTTAGGGATTGGACCTAGGGCCTTTAGCAAGCTAAGTATACACTCTACCAGTGAGCTACACTCCCAGTCTGCATTCCATCCTTCCATCCCTCCCTCCCTTTCTGTCTGTCTTTTGGGCAGCACTGTGGATCCAACCTAGGCTTTGAACATGTTAGTCAAGTACTGCTGAGCTGTTTCCAGCCCTGCATGCTGTGTCTTTTAATGGATCATTTATTTCAGTTCAAGTTTAATATTATGTCTGATGTTCTTGTTTTTATTACTTTTATCACTCTAGCATTTATGAGGTATTATAGTTTCTTTAGTTTTCTTTTCCTTGTTTTTGTTAATTTGAAAAGTTTACTTCTATGAATGGTTATCTTCCTGTTTCTTACTCTCAGAAGCATCCCATAGTGTTATTATTGATTGGAAGCAACATCTTATTATTTTTATGTTACTATTTTAGTTCTTTTCTATCCAAAGAAATTAAAATCTTTGGAATACTTTTCATCTTTTGCTTTTCCTTTTCACCTGCTCCATTTCTTTATTCGTTTAAAATCTTTGAAAAGCAATTATTTCCTTCTTTTCCCGTTCCTCAACTCCAAGATTTTTCTGATATAGTTCAGCATTTACAAACAACTTTCCTTATTGCATATCCTTTTTTAAAAAGCATTTTGGCTATACATTCCAAAGAGTATGTTCTTATTCGTTATGGCCTAGCTTCATGTATTTGTTGCTCACTATTGCATCTTCCCTTTTATCTTGAATTATAATCTTTGATATAACAGTGCATGCACCTATATGGATAAATATCAGAAGCAATGCTGAGTGGAAAAATTATCTGAAAAAGTTGTTATTTGATAAGAAGATTTCCATAAAGTTAAAAAATTCTCATAATACTTGGTAAAACTTGAGGGGGGAAAAAAGTTCCACTTGTTTATTTCTTAGGAGGTAGGGAGGAGGGTAAGAACAGGGAAAGGAACATAAAGAGCTTTATGGATATCGTATAATACATTCCTTGAATATAGAACATTACTTAAAATGTGTATAAAAATTGACCAGGAAATTCACCATGCTCTGTTATGTGTTTTGGGAAAAAAAAAAAAAAAGTGTACATTGAGAAACCTTTCTCCTTGTTGAAGCAAAGAATAACTTGGAGGTTGAGAAAAAAGAACTAGGGGAAATGTACCTGATCACTCAAAAATTCGTTAGGTAAGATTTCTTCACTCCCCAACCCACTTAGGTAAAATTTCTAGGAAGCTCTCCAACCCCATCTTTTTTACCGCACCATTCCTCTTTTCTTATGAAACTCAAGTCACAGTTAAGCCCTTTGACATTTATCAGGCATTGTTTTGAGTATGTCAGGGATACTAAGATAGGCCTGTGTGGGGTAGGCACAGGACTCCTTTGATGGGTGACTTTGGCTCCAGAACCCTTCACCAGCTTTAATCAACCTTGTTATAACTGCACTGCAGTCTAGGACTCTTGCTGCCCATCTACCTTTCTTTACTCTTACAGAGATTAGACCTACATTTTCTTGTTCACTTTCCATGCGCCTTCAAGTCATTCCCTCAATGTATCTCATATTTCTCATCCTATCTGCTTCTTGAAAGATCTAAACTAATGCAGGAGTCAGTGTGAACTGCCTAGCATATAGTAAGCCAGGACTGTGTGTATTAATATTGTTATGGAAAACTAAATAACAGATAATGGTAACTGTGGTATTGGACATGTCCAAATCAGGGATATTTAGGAGATAGGTACAATATAGAAATATATTTAATACTAGTACATGTTCAGAAAATTAATTTCTTAATTACCACATTATAGAGCAGGGACACTTAGAACAAAATAGTTTGCCAAGCACAGTTTCACAAATCTCTAATCTCAGCTACTCCAAAGGCTGAGGAAGGATGATCACAGGTTCAAAGCCAGCCTCAGCAATTTAGCAAGATTTTTGTCTCAAATATAAAAAGGACTGGAGATGGAGCTCTGGTTAAATGCTTCAGGGTTCAATCCCCACTAGTGGGTTGGGGGAAGGATCTTAGGTTGAGGATTCATTTAATTAAAAAAATATATATATAGGGGACTGGGGATATAATTCAGTTGGTAGAGTTCTTGCCTAGAATGGACAAGACCCTGAGTTCAATCCCCAACACCACCACCACCCCCCCAAAAAAAAAAATGTAGAGAGACATACACACACACACACTTGGGTGTGTGTGTAATATATATATATATATTTTCATTCTCCAGGGATTCATTCAATAGATAATGGAAGCTTTGGTATAAAGAATATCCCCAAAAAACACAAAATATCTCCAGAATTATATGTTAATAACCAAATAATTTGCCTTCTGATAAAATGTCAGCTTTATAAGTTCAGTTTTTTTGTTTTTTGGTACCAAGGATTGAAACCAGGGCCACTTTACCTCTGAGCCACATCCCCAGCCCTTTTTATTTATTTTGAGACGGGGTCTCACTAAGTTGCTTAGGGCCTTGATAAGTTTCTGAGGCAGATTTTGAACTTGTGATCCTTCTATCTGAGCCTCCTAAGTTGCTGGGATTATAGGTGGGTGACACCACGCCTGGCAAAGTTTTTATGTACTAATTTATGATAGCTTTTTGTTGTTTTTATTTTTGGTTTAAATTAAGGAGACAGTTGTCCCTGTAATGAATAGACAGGAGAAGCTGAGAGAGATGCTTTAATGGGTTTTAATATCTAATTTTCTTAAAAAGATAGTTTATATCTGTTGTAAGAACATACTTGTTTTTTGCACAAGAAAATGTTAGTAAGTTAGCTTTGGGGAGTGAGATTGAGATATGAAGATATACCTTTATAATGAAATTTTATATGGTAAAAAAGAGAATTAAGAAGGAAAATGCAAATAAAAACAGATGTATATGTGTGAGACAACTTAGAGTGCTTGATTCTTGGGAATGAATTCAAGCACCATTAGTTTAATGTACCACGGTGCATGGAAGCTGGGCTATACGGATCTTAAGATAAATTTTTTTTCTGTTCTTGTTCCATTAATAATGTCTGTTTACTTTATTATTTTTAACAGGGATGTGCATGCGGTCTGTCTCTGGGATGATAAAGGCCCAGCAAAAATTCATCAGGCTTTAAAGGAAGATATCCTTGAGTTTATTAAGCAAGCACAGGCAGTAAGTTCTGTATCTTTTTTTTTTTTTTTTGGTGCTGGGGTTTGAACCTAGGGCCTCTCACAGATGCTAAGCATACACTTTACTGCTGAGCTATTTCCCAGCCTCAGGTTGGTTATACAACTATACAGACAATATTATATTTTGTGATTGTGAAAGTAAAAATTCCTTAATCCCAGCAGCTTTGGAGGCTGAGACAAGAGGATCATGAGTTCAAAGCCAGCCTCAGTAAAAGCAACTCAGTGAGACTCTGTCTCTAAATGAAATACAAAATAGGGCTGGGGATGTGGCTCAGTGGTTCAGTGCCCCTGAATTCAATCCCTGGTACCTCTCAAAAAATAAAGTAAGACTTTCTGAAGTAATTTAAAATATTATATTGACTTCTGACACATCTGTTTATTTAAAAATGAAATGATTGTCATTTGTTGGATGTTTACCTCTTATTGTGATAATTTCTGTCAACAGAAATACATTATTATCTCTAATTAAAAGATGCTATAAGGGATTTAGTTTTTTATACATTTTTTAGAAGTCTCCATTGTCATTATATTTTGGCCCTAGGTTAATCCACATAAATCTTTCTTTCATCTCATGACCTCTTTCAGGTAGATAGTAATTTTCTTCAATTCTAGATACTTCTCTGAATAAAAAATCCTGGGAGTGTCCTTTGTTTTGCTGTTGCTGCCTGAAGTCAGCATTATTGTGTTGGTATTATGAGTAAAATTTTAATTTTACTTAAATGAGGACAAAGGTCATTTAGGCCATTGGTTCATTATACAAGCATTAATTTTGTTTTGTTTTCATTGACACCTTTGTTTTTTTGGAAAAATGAATGCAGAAGTAATGTATTATTTTGAAACAACATTAGCAAAATGAATGAATCCCTTACCACTTTGAGAAGTGGCTTAAAAACATGAAATTTTTCTTTTGTATAAAATGAAAACTAGAGGGCTAGAATTTCTTATTCTCTAGGTAAATCTTTGTCTTGTACAACATTTGTAAATGTTGTTTGTTAAAAATGTTAAATACTAATAGCTGCTTAGCAATTCAAAATTAAAAATGAGTTTTTCTATATAGAACTCAAAGGAAGATATTCAAATCAAGTATATGACTCGTGTATATTTAATTCTGCTGGTAGCTACTGCCATGATAGGATAATAATGATGAGTATTATTTACAAAATTGTTTTAGTGATAATATAAATAAGTTTTTTAAGATTAGAGTTTTATAGGAAATGATCTTTTAATGAAAATAAATCCTGTTTTTAAGCTTTACTTAATGAAATGTTTCAAATCAATTTAATTAAAATTATACATAAAACTGACTTAGAAATACCTTTTCCATTTGGATTAGGAAATATGAGCTTTTCTGTTTATAACTTTTGGTAAAGATAAATTATGTTTATTTCAAATTGATAGTTTTATTTGTTAGTTTCTGGAAACAGGCTAATAAAGACTCATCTTAAATTAGGTGTGATATACTTATAATCCTAGTGACTAGGGAGACTGAGGCAGGATTCCATGTTTGAGGCCAACCTGGACAATTTAGCAAGACCCTCAGCAATTTAGTGATAAAACATTTATTCTCAATGGGCTGGGGTTGTGCCTCAGTGGTAGAGCACTTGTATGGTATGTGTGAGGCCCTGAGTTCAGTTCTCAGCACCACATACAAATAAATAAATTAAATAAAGGTCCACCAATGACTAAAAAAATACTTTAAAAAATATTTATTCCAAAAGTAAAAAACAAAAATGGCTGGGGATGTAGCTTAGTGGTAAAGTGCTACTGGGTTCAATCTCCGGTATGAAAAACAAACAAACAAAATCTTCTTAGATATTGTTAACAGTTGTTTAAAAATGTAGTTACTTAATACTAGCAAACAAAATATGTAAGAATTTCACTGTAACATGACCTGATAAAGTCTAGAATATGTATCTGAGGAAGGGCCGGACTCGGTGTTGCATGCCTATAATCCCAGTGACTGGGGAGGCTGAGGCAGAAAGATGCCACGTTCAAGTCCAGCCTCAGTAATTTAGTGAGTCCTTAAGCAATTTAGCAAGACCCTGTCTCTAAATAAGAAATAAAAAGGGGTGGGGACTTGGCTCAGTGGTTAAACACCTCTAGGTTTAATCCCCAGTTATGTGCCCCTGCCCCAAAAAAATTTGGAAAAGAACTTAAGACCACTGATACAGAGCAGTTAAAACTGTAGGAATATCAATGGCAGACATGAGTATACAATTTTAAAAGATTTTTTAACTCGAGAATATCTAGCTTTGTGATTCATTTGAACTTACCTTGTTAGGAAGAACCATATTTCCCAAATAAGAAAGGTACTATGCATTAAAATGTTTATGGCATTATTTAAAATGATGCAAAAAAGGGTCTGGCTAGCTCACTGGTAGATTACCAGAGGTATATTGGGGGGGGGTGAGGGGGTGCTAGGAGTTAAAGACCAACCTAGGCAACTTAGTGAAACCACCTATCTCAAAGCAAGACAACAAAAGCAAACAATATAAACAATATTTGAGAAATCATTAGGAAATTGGTTTTTTCTTTTTTTAGATTAGCATAACGACTTTATTTTGTTTTTCAATCCTGGGCATTGAACCCAGGGCCTTGCGCGTGCTAGGCAAGTACTATAGCACTGGATTATTGTTCCAGCCAAAGATAATTATTTTGTTCATAATTCTGTGATTTAGTTATTTGGGCTGGCTCAACTGATTTCACCCAAGCTTCTAAATTCAGCAGTAGTTGGTTGTTGGCTCTGCAGAACCAGGTCGCCCAAGAGGGCCTACTAGTGTTTGATGCTGGTTTTCTCTTTCACCATGTAATTTCTCATTTTTCAAAGAAATCACCCTTAAAGTGAGATAAGGATCTATAAAACTTCATGTCTAGGCTTGGAAATCGTGTTTTACTACTTTGACCTTTTGTTGGTCATAGCACTTTACCAGACCAGCCTAACCACAAGCAGTGGTCAAATTGACTCCATCCCAGCTTCTTAAAATATTGAGATAAATTGCCCAGCATGTGCAAGCCCCTAGGTTTGATTCTAGCACATCCACTCCTCCCCTACCCTGCAAATTGAGATATAATTCACATATCATAAAATTCAATGTCTTAAAAGCTTGTCATTCATATGAGCTTTATTATAGTCACAAAGTTGGATACATCATCCACTAATTGCCACGTATTTTCATCTCCCTAAAACAAAAGGCTGTACCTGTTAACAGTCACTTCCTAGTATACCTCCTTACCACTAAACCATTTCTTGTTTTCTGCCTCTGCAGATTTGCCTGTTCTTGATATTTCCTATAAAGTATCATCGTATAATATGTGACCTTTTATGACCACATTTTCACTTGGGAAAATCTTTTCAAGATTCATTTTATGTTGTAATATTGATCAGTATTTTTTACTTTTTCTGGATGAATAGTATTTCATCATGTGGCTCTACCACATACAGTTTATCCATTCATCAGTTGATGGATGTTTCTTGTCTATTATGAATAGTGATGCTATGAGCATTTGTGTACAAGACTTTTGGGAACATGCTTTAATTGCCCTTGGATATAATACAGTTTGTGCGATAAATAAAACATTTTAAAATTATGACATGAATATGTTTTGTTCTTATTTTTCAAAGTACACTATGTTTATTTCAAATTGGTATGATTCTTTTTTCCAGCGAGTACTGAGCCATCAAGATGACACAGCTTTGCTAAAAGCATATATTGTTGAATGGAGAAAATTCTTTACACAATGTGATATTTTACCGAAACCTTTTTGTCAACTAGAGATTACTTTAATGGGTAAACAGGGCAGCAATAAAAAGTCAAATGTGGAAGACAGTATTGTTCGAAAGGTAAGTCAGTTTTTCCTATCGTTTTTCTGGTACTCTTTAGAAAGCTTATTTGAAGGCATTTCAAAATAATGCACACTTTAAGTGAGTTTTTGTTTCACATATAAATTCCTTTTTACCTCTTGTATTTTATTGAATAATGATATTTTTAATTTTTTTCTTTTATCTATCTTTAACTTTAGTTCTCCTTCATCTTTTTATTTGGTCTTAAACTATAGATCTTTGTCTTCAAACATTATCTCCTTTGGGCTGGGGTTGTAGTGTTAAGAGAGCTTGCCTAGCATGTGTGAGGCATTGGGTTTGATCGTCAGCACCACATAAAAATAAATAAATAAATAAATAAATAAAGGTATTGGTCCATCTACAACTAAAAAAAAACCAAACATCTCGTTTGCTTTTCCTTTTTACTTTCAACTTTTTTTATTATTATCTTTAGTATTTAATTTTCCTGTTCTTTTTTTGTACTTTTATTTTTCTGTAAGTTATTGTTTTTAGTAATCCTTTTATTAGCTTGCTTTCTAATAAGTTTGTGTTTAATTTTTGATAAACTGCTGTCATCTTTATAATCTTATAAACTCAGTATGTATCATACTTTTATATTTTGCATGGATTCTAATTAAAAGCACATGCCCAGTAGCTCGTCATGATTTAATGGAAAGAACTCAATCTGGAAAGTGAGAAAGGTTTCCCTTGGAACTCTAAATCACTCTTCAACTTTTTGTCTTTTACCAAGTATCTTCCTACTTGTGAAAATCAAAAGTAACTAGAGGTATATTTCGGGGGTGAGGGGGTGCTAGGGATTGAATTCAGGGCCTCACACATACTAAGCCCTCACTCTACCACTGAGCTACATCCTAAACCCCAACCAGAGAATTGAAAAGTTAAAAATGCCATTTGAACTTTAAATAACCTACTGTTTGCTGTGATGATTATTAAAACTCAGGCATTAAAATAGCATGGTCTAAAAAAAAAGTAATAATAATATCATGGTCTAGGCATTCTTGCCTCATCCCACTCTTAAAATTTGCTTAATTTGCACAAAAAAGAAAGACACATTCAGATGCTATTTAATTTGTAATTCTGTAATCTTATCCTCTTTTATTGTTATTCCTTTATTTTTTGCAATTCTATATGCATTGTGGGAAGTGGCATCCCTTAAGAGCATCAATTCCGAGAACCAGAATTGGATTCAGATCCCAGTGTTGCAACTGCAAACTGCATGACTGTGGCCTTGCTCTCTCTGTCCCTTGTTCCACATAGAGAGGAGATAAGAGTGTACCTATATCAAGATGATGAAGGTTGAGTTATATGTAGAAATTACCTAGAGCAGTCCCAGATATGTAATGAATATTAATGCCTTGTGGGTTCTTTATGTTGTTCCTGCCATCACTAACATTTATTCTACACCTGACTAAATTATTCCAAGCATTAAAACATATTCACTAATGTGTATTTTTATAAACAGAACTGGGATTCAAATTCAGTTATGTCTGATTCTGAAATACTTTTTTTTTTTATCATTATGCTAAATATACTACTTTCCTGAAGAATGCTAAATGTGTGCCTAAGAATTTTATTTCTTTTAGTGTTCATACTAAAATATGTGTTTGTTTGGAGGTGGTATACTCATTATGTTAATAGTTGAAAATAATTCCATATTTTCTTCTTGTTTTCCTAGCTCATGCTTGATACATGGAATGAATCAATTTTTTCAAACATAAAAAACAGACTTCAAGATAGTGCAATGAAGCTGGTACATGCTGAAAGATTGGGAGAAGCTTTTGATTCTCAGCTGGTCATTGGAGTAAGAGAATCCTATGGTATGTTCTAAACTCTTAATTCTTTGTCATAAAAATTCCAGGACAATTATAGTTTTGTCAGAGTTATGTTTATCAGCATATAAACTGACATCTTTTTTTGTTCCAGATGCTTTTAATAGTACACAAATGGTATTCATTATACTTGTTTTTTAGTTTCTTTTTTTAAAAATTTTTTAATTTTTTTATTTATATGTGATAGTGGAATGAGTTACAATTCTTGTTATACAAATAGAGCACAATTTTTCATATCTCTGATTGTATACTTATTGTATAAGAAACCTGCAAAAAATCATATTGATGTGTCTGTCATATTTCCTCCATATCATTAATTTCTTGACTGTTAATTTATGTATGTATTTATTTATTAGTACTAGAAATTAAAACCAGAGACACTCTACCACTATACCCCCAACCTTTTTATTTTTTTATTTTTGAGACGGGATCTCACTAAGTTGCTGTGGCTAGCCTGGAACTTGAGATCCTCCTGCATTATCTTCCTGAGTCACTGGGATTATGGGCTTGCAACACCACACTTGGTTGCTAACAAATCTTTTTAATGACCTAAAATAAAGAAATGAGAATTTGGATGTATTTTTTAAATACGTAAATTTTGAATGTAAATTTGCATGTGACTCATAAAAGGTAACTGCTTTTGTGTTTGTTTTCAGGAACTTACTTCACCCTGAACATTTTCTCTACCTCTTAGCTTCTGGCAGTATTTTCATTTGTATTTTCAATCATGTATATTGTTTCCTCTGACTTAGAATACTCTTCATCTTCTAATTCCTTTTTATACTTTGTTTCCTCATGGAGGCCTTTCCTAATTCACACACTAGGTTAGGTCCTATCACTTCATGTTTCATGGTATCTGTGTCTCCCTAGAATAATACTAAGTGTCTTGTTGACCCTGTATCTTTCTATAGAATGCCTGACAGAAAATCACTCTCAACTAGCATTTGTTGAGTTAATGAACCTTCATTTCTTTTTTTTTTTTTTCATTTCTTACTCTTGCATTGTAATTGCACATAATAGTGGGATTCGTTGTTACATATTCATACGTGCACATGATATAATTTGGTCAGTATTGTTCCCCTCAGTATTAGTGAACCTTTAGGGTGTTTTTGACTGGTTTTTCCCTTTTGCTCCCATATTTCTTTAGTATTATTTTATTGTTTTGTTTGTTTGTTTGTTTGTTTTTACCAACAGCATCCTGAATACAGACTACTTAATTTGAGATTTGTGACTTTCCATAGCAATTCCTAATTTACCATTCTTCCTTATTTTCTATTAACCTTATAGTTGACTTAGACCACCTAATCATTATAGCTTGTGCTTTTCTGCTTCCGAATATTATCTTACTAATCTGTCTATGGAAATTCTTATTTATTTTTAAAATTCAATTTAAATCTAATCTGTTCTGCAAATGATTTCTTGATCATTGATTTAGAAATCAGTGTCTTTACTATTCCAAAACAAAGTAGTTCATATTCTTTCTTGTTGTATTTGTTACTTAACTGCTTTGATCTTTTTAAGTTTTTTATGGAGATTTTTGTCTTATAAAGGATTTTTGTCTCAAACAATTATATGTTCTCACGAACACTGTCATCTTCCATATAATAACTCCTCAATATAAAGTAAAATTTTATTTTCTATTTTTCAGTTAACCTTTGTTCTAATCCTGAAGATAAGCTTCAGATTTATAGGGACAATTTTGAGAAGGCATATTTGGATTCAACAGAGAGATTTTATAGAACACAGGCACCCTCATATTTACAACAAAATGGTGTACAGAATTATATGAAATATGTAAGTCAGAACTTCATACATTTGGTAATTTGAAATGTTATCTTGATATTCTTGATAGTCTTAAAATGATTGCTATTTTGCTTCTGGACAGGCAGATGCTAAATTAAAAGAAGAAGAAAAACGAGCACTACGTTATTTAGAAACAAGACGAGAATGCAACTCTGTTGAAGCAGTAAGTAATTTTTGTAATTGTACATTTTATGAGATTATTTGAAGTACAATTGCATAGGGATGGCAAATACATGACACTATCTATCCTTTATATAATGACATTATTCTTTCTCATGTCTCTGACCAACCTTACTAATTGGTTACAGCATTACTAATTGTTTCCCAGTAAGTAAAAGCAAAGTTCCAAAAAGCATCTTATTCAGAACACATTGTTCCTCAGAGCTGGTGTGCAAAAAAAAGCCTATTTGCCATCCCTGCTCTAAATTTTACTGTATTTAATGTACACTACTTAATTTTTAATCAACCTCCTCTTTCTATACATTTCTAAAGGCAATCATTTTAGTGATTTTTTTCATGTTGCAAGTAAAATATACTTTTTGGGGCTGAGATTGAGGCTCAGTGGTAGAACACTTGCCTAGCATGTGTGAAGCCCTAGATTCAATCCTCAGCACCACATAAAGATAAATAAAGATATTGTGCCCATCTACAACTAAAAAAATGAATACACACACACACACTCTGTCCTTGATATGATTCTCAATATTTTCAGTAGATATATTTTGTAAAGTGGCTGCAAAAACTGAATTAGTCATTATTGAATCACTTATTACCCCTTGGAGGCATTTCTTTTTGTTATTTGATGTAGGAACATCGACCTTTATTTATTATTTTATATTATATAATTAGTTCTTCATTTAAATGAGGTTGGTCAAGGGTTTTGTTTTGTTTTTAATACAAGAATTCATTTAAAAAAAGAATTCATGTTAGCATTGCTTTAATAAGGAAGGTAGTAATCAAGTTTGGGAGAGTCTTGGAATCTGCTCAAATATAACAGTAGTATTTCCTCCAATTCCTTTCAGTATTTGGAGCCTGTGAACAAGATTTAAATTTACATTGACAAGACTAACATTTCAGTTTGCCTATGACCAAACCATTTCTCAACTATAGATGAGATTTAGAAATGTTTTTATTTTGTTTTGTTTTATTTTACTTCTGGCTTTAAAAATTGTTTTTTCATCTGTCTTGACTGATAGTCTTGTTTATTTTTGGGGGGTGGTTGCTTGTTCATAACTGGCAATATATGTCCTTTCAATGATTAAAATAATTTTAATACTGGCAAAGAAAGGCGAGGGTTGGGGGCTAACTTAGTGGTTGTTGTAGAAATTATTTGTTGAAATTTAAAGCTAGATTTGGGCTTTATGCAGAAGGCAGGGCCATTGAATGTTTTTAAATATGTGTGTCATGATCTGAGATGTCTCTCAGGAATTTAATCTGGTGATAGTAAAGATTAATTACTAAGAAGAATTAATTTTTATGGAGAAGGATTTTGTTTTAAATGGTTATATGTTCTCATGAGCACTTTTATCTATCATTTAATAACTACTCAGTGTTAACATTGCAATAATAAGCAAGGCATTAGGAGAACCACATAGGGTTATAATAATAGGGTTGTAAAGGATGAAGGTACAGAGGAAGATTTGCCACAGGTGGAACATTATGTCATTATGTATGCAGCTATATATTGCAGAGAATCAAGCCAATAGTGTTTCAGAGGTTTCAGCTCAAGAGAATAGTGTTGCCACAGAGAGATTCCATATGAAAATTAGTCTTATAAAGATGAGTTCAGTTTTGGAAATTTGAGTTCTCTTAGTAGGTTTATATTCCTGTGGCATCTGAGTTGGTGTGTTACCATTTTACAAGGTGGAATTGTTCTGATCTTAATACCCCAGTGTTTCAAGTTTAGCTGTATTATATACATTATATTTATGGCTATTCAAATATAAAGGTCCAACTAAGAGTAAGAAAATGAGACTGGGTCTCACTGAGTTGCTTAAGGCCTTGATGAGTTGCTGAGGCTGGCTTTGAACTTGCAATTCTGCCTCAGCCTCCCAAGGCACTGGGATTATAGGTGTCCACCATTGTGCCCAGCCTTAAAACTCATTCTTACAGAAGAGTTCCACTCTATAAGTGTAAAAGGAAGTAAATAATCGCTGTTAGGCAGATTTCACAGTAATAATTGTTGCAGGCAAACTCCACCAAGTGCATACAAAAATTAGTGACCAAAAGTTTGAAATAAAATAGATTTATTTTCATTGTTTCAAAGATCTTCCCCAAGATATTTACTAAAAAGAAAAATAATAACTTTACAATGGAAAAACCTTAAAAATACCATCTTGACCCATTGTCCCAGATGTGGAACACCTTTAAAAACTTTATTATATAATACACAATTATATAATATACTATAATTATATAATAATAATATAATTATATAGTATTGTGATATTTGTTTATACACACATACACAAACACACATATAAGCTCTAGATTATGATTTCCAACCTATTTTAATATATGTGAGCCAATTTCATTGAAATATTACCAGAATTAAAAGCTTCAAGCTTAAAATAGTTAACCAAGTAATTATAGTTAACATCACTAGTAATAGGACAAATCGATATTATGTATCCCTGGATGTCATACAAAATAACTAACATTCTTTTAAAATGTCCAAAAAAATGTCATAAAAAAATGTCATAACAGACCAAACAGAGGACAAAAGAACTGTCAGATTGGAACAGACTACAAATATAACAATTAAATGAAATGTGTGCTTGAGGATTGGATTCTGTAATAGGAAAAGGACATTAGTTTAAAAAAAAAAAACAAACAAACTTTGTCAGTTTTCAAGTATAACATTGTATCAGTGATTTTTTTGTGATTTTGATTGTTATGCTATAGTTATGTAAGATTAATGTTAGGAAAAGTAGAGTGATCGAGGTATGAGATTCTCTGTGCTATTGCATGTTTTCTGTAATCATTTAATCAAAATAGAAAGTTTAAAAAATAAAGAATATTATGAAGAATGTCATCTTTTATTTGAAGGCATCACTGGAGATTACCATATGGTATTTTCCTTATTGAATGAATTTTTCAAATCATATTAACAGAATCCCTAACATTAAACCATTGTTCTACTTTAGGAGTGTTCCCAAAACTCACATTTATTTTTATTTATTTATTTTAGTTGTCAATGGACCTTTATTTTATTTGTTTATATGCAGTGCTGACAATTGAACCCAGTGCCTCACACATGCTAGGCAAGTGCTCTACCATTAAGCTACAACCACAACCCAAAATCACATTAAAAAATTTTTTTTCAGTTGTTGATGGACCTTTATTTTATTCATTTATTTATATGCAGTGCTGAGAATTGAACACAGTGTCTCACACATGTGAGGCAAACACTTTACTACTGACCTACAACCCCAGCCCCTCAAAATCACATTTTTAAAAAATATTTATTTTTTTAGTTGTAGTTGGACACAATACCTTTATTTCACTTATTTATTTTTATGTGGTGCTGAGGATCGAACCCACGGTCTCGCATGTGCGAGGTGAGTGCCCTACCGCTGAACCACAGCCCCAGCCCCGAAAATCACATTTTTAATGGATAAAAATTTACACTCTAAAGGGATTTTGACATATTCTATCTAGCCAGTAAAAGTTACTCCTTTGGGGTGGGAATATAGCTCAGTGCTAGAGCACTTGCCTAATATGTGAAAGGCCCTGGGGTTTAATTTCCAGCATCACAAAACAAAACAAAACACTCTAATTTTATATATGTAAAATTTTTAGATATTATATGTACCCAGAATCATATTTTAGAATCCTTTTATAAGTTTATCCTAATGAACTTTTATTTTCTTTTGCTTATGTTTAGTATAGCAGGTTCTGATAGATGAATCAGTGGAAAGTTAGTTACGCTATATGTTGTTTAGACATCTTATCATAAACATGAAAGCAAGCAAAAGATAGGGTTAGAGTGGTGAGAAGATAAATTATTTTCTCTCAAGCCTAGACTATGTTGGAACATTGTGAAAGTGAATGTAGAAAAGTAGGAGATAGATTTTGATCTCATTATAAAGGACATTTTGAATTTAAGGCTAATATCTTTGGATTGAAATCTCTAAGTCAGAAGTTTTCAGTGTGGGTAGAATTTACCTCCAGGGAGCATTATAAAAATGTATGGAGGCAATTTGTGATTATTAAAATGATTGTATAGTTAGAAGATAGGGGTCTAGGAGTGTAAGTAAGGATTTGTGAATGCCACGTGTCTCACACAGTCTTATATAAACAAGGCTTGGAGTCAGGCAATCAAATGTGTAACTCATCAGTACATACATAATACTGAGACCAGTGATTTTTCATTACTTTTCAAAAAGTATGGTATCCCACAGAAACAAGAATTACCCCACAGGCCAAATGACCTTAAAATGTCCTACTGGCCACTCGTCTAAGTGGAAATATCATTTTTACTTCTTGGAAAATAGAACTTAATTTTTTTAAATTTATAAATAAAAATATTTTTATATGATATTAATCTGCTGTTCTAGGGATGATGTTATTGTATAAATTGAGGAAAGATGTTTTGTTTGGAATCTTAAAATTTTTTTCACTAGAAGAAATTTATATTACCTGCAATGAAACTGCTTATGGTATTGAGTTAGCAGTGTACGTGTGTGAGATTCATTTGTAGTTTTCACATTCCCATTTGTGCTGCTTATACTTTATGATCTCTTCTACTTTAGTTGTTGCCAAGTATTTATAGGTTGAAATATATATTGGCTTCTTATAAAGTTTTTTTTCTTTGATTTCTCCTATATATTATAATTAAAGAATTATGTGGATGTTTCTGAAATGATATAACACATTTTAATATTTGCTATGTAAGAAAGTGTGGGTTTGATAGTTTTGAGAACCATTGATTTGGTGATGCAGAGTCTGGAGGATTCATCTGTCCTGGAGTGTATCTCAGTGTCTATAGAGAGGTAAGAAACTTGTTTTTAGCTGTCTTCAATGATATAATAAAGTTTCCAACTAGATAAGTGATGACAAAGGAATGGAGAGGAAAGGATATGAAAAGCATTTTGAAGAAGAATCAATAGATATTTTAATGGTTTAAAGGATCATTCAAGATGATTGAAAGATTGCTTAAGT